GCGTCGAATTAATTGTTAATTAAAAAAAAAAAAGAAGAATATTTGAAATAAAGTACAAATACTTTTTGAAACATTAATTATTGTAAATAATAGATTCATCGAATTTTTGTTTAATTGCAATTATAATGACCAACAATTGTAATATCATCGTCTTGTCGTCGTCGTCGTTATTATTATTATTATTATTATTATTATTATTATTATTTTTTTTTTTTTATCATTATAATTATTAACATATAAATGTCATGACATTAAGATTAATTTTATCAATTTTATTATTTTTCTTACGACGTATATATAATATTTTAATTAACAATTAACGAAAGTACTATTAAAGTAAAATTGTAATATTAGATTAATTAAAAAACTATGTAAAAAAGATATAAACAAAAACATACGAATGAATATTTTATAGAAATGAACATTTGTATTATTGTAATCATAATCGTGCGCATATCGCTATAAAGTAAAATTTCATTAAACAAACTAAAACAATTCTGAGAAATCATTGGATATAATAGATTCATCGTACTATTGCAATCTCATAAGATTATGAAATCAAATTGTTTTATGGTTGATCACACTTGTCGTTTCGTCAATCTTCAATACGTATGTAATTGTAATATTGAAGTAACATTGTACAATATATACATTAACAGTAAATTAACATCAATATTTGCAGATGAATACTCGCATTCACGAAGAAATAGTGTAAATGTCAGTATCGAGTAGAGCCAATCCTTATAGTTGTTGCAACTACTATCCTCGAAAGTAGCGTTAATAGATGTAAAAGATAAGAAAGAAAGCACGTGTGCACTCAATTCAACGTTTAATTCTAACTTACTAAAGTGTTCCTACGTGCGACCTAATAATTAGAATTCCAAAATGCAATCGAACGCTTTCACGCAATGCTTGCAACTTTCGTATCAATGGAAGTAAAACGATCGCTATCGGCCTATCTTCTAAATCGATATTGTTATTGTATATCAGCAATAGCGATCTTATAAATTAAGGAGTGCACACTGCATCGAATGCGTCGATTACGCAGGAGTTCGATACAGAGCTTTGACGACAGAGAAAGTGAGATAATGTGGGAAAGACCGATCATAGAACACCAATCCCTCGATCTTAATGCACCGCCAACGTACCTCCATGTATATACCGCTTGTATGTTCCAAGAATCCAAACCCGTGAGCAATACTTATAAAGCAATTCTAACACGCAATTATGCACGTAAGCTATAATGACTGAGCGTGATATGTGGTTGTAAATTAATCCTCAAGGATAATAAAGGAAAAGTGACTTTGGCCACTTCTTCATTATACAATTCATCCTACAGTCTTCTGAAACTTTGACCTTTTTAGTAATGTATGTAATGATTTGCTATTTTTTTATTATTAGCTAGTTTATTTTAACAAGTAATTTGACAATTTTTTAAATTGAATGTTTATATTGGTTGTTTATCATTTAATTAAAGCTATTTAAAAAGCACTAAATTTTTATTATTATAGTAGATATTTTATATATGAAAGAGAAATTTCTTATAAGATGAATAAAATATCAAAATATTCACTAATTAAATACATATATTTTTTTCACAATGAAATATATTAACATAAAGTCAAAGAAACTAATAATATTAATTTTATATGAATTGATATTTGGAATTTATACAGTAAATTTGTTTCAATAGTTGTTGAAATATTTTTTATAGTATATTACTTTTATTTATTTCATTTACTAATGGGCCAATAAAAAATTTACACATTTCATTATAATTTATAGTGTAATTAAAACTTATTTGCGTATCATAAATTTTGCAATTTGTTCGAGCG